AAAGATTTGGAATTATTCAGTTGCAATATTTATGCTATATTTAAAATGGTATGAGAGTGGTTGGTGTTTTAAGCATGTTTTTCTGAGAGCCAATGAAGAAGAGAAAAAGCAAGTATATTTGCCAGAAAAATAGAAGGTCTGTTTAGATTTTGGTAGGTGGCAGTAGAGTGTAGGGGGTAACGTCGGGGCAGTTGGTGAGGGAAAGGGCAAAATTAAAAATGGTGCACAGTTTTCTGGTTTGGAAGCTTGAATTAATGGAGGTGGCATTTATTGAGATGGGGACTACAACAAGAAATATTACAGTTGTTGCCAAAACAAGTGTTGGGAGTGGGGATAAGATGATCTCCATTGTGGACACTTTCTATTCAGTGAACCTATAGGACATTTGAGAGATGAAACATATATAGTGAGCAGACGAAGATTTGGATATACAGTTTTCAAAATGAACTAAAAGTAAAGAATCATGAGTCACAAGTATATTGATAGGAATTTAATTCTTGGAATTAGATGAGATTGCCCAGGGAGAGTGTAATGTAAGAAGAGAGCAAGACTTAGAACAACCCATCATAGCTTTTTAAGAGATGGGCAGAGGTAGAGAAACCCATAAAGAAAACTGAGAAAGTTTGACCTACATTGTAGGACGAAATGCAAAATAACATTTATTTTCTCTACTGTGACTTTGTAAATTTCACGTTGTATTGAGGACAGTGGTTGTAGTGTGTATCAAAATCACCTGGGTTGCTTGCTAAAAATTTGGTTTCCTAGACTCACCCACAGAGATTCCTATATAGCAAGTGCAGAATAGTAGCCAATTCTGTGTTAACAGGCATCCAAGATGATTCTAACATAGGTGATTCTTAAAATATACTTTGAGAAACACCTTTTTGGAAAACAGTGTGAAATGGCTGAAAAAACAAGGCTTTAGAATCAGACTTTCTTAGGGTCCTGGCTTTTATTCTTTACTCTTTGTGTGACTGTGAGCAAATTTGTTAAAGTTTGTTTTCCCATCAGTGCTGGGAATATAATATGTCTCTTCTATTGTATAGAATTATTACCAGGTATATATGAGATATGTTCTATTAAGTTCTTGATGTATAGAAGCTCAGTAAATGTGAGTTGTCTTTTTGACAGCTTATAAAAACCCCAGAACACAGCTGTAAACCTAAAAGCCAGTGAAAAAGTAGAAGGAAATTGCTCTTACTAGCCTTATGCATTTTGTTTTGTAGGAGATCAGAGACAACTGCTTTTTACCTTGAACCTACTGAATTAGGATTAGTGTAAAATTGAATTACTGTTACAATAGATTTCATTGTCTAGTTTTTCCTGGCAGCCTTCAGTTCTGTAGACATTACATTCAAAGCATGATAGAGGTTAGGTTAAAGTGTGAAACAGAAGCTGAGACAAATGTAATAGAGGAACAAACACCTCAAAAATTCTGAGGGTATCAATGTGTTACAAAAACTAACATTCAAAATGATACTATGTTAAGAAAACAATGTTATGTTTAAAAGACCTGTTTGTAAATTTAGGGAAGGATATATTTTCGAAAGCTTTGCATCACAATGATTAACATTTTTAAAAGTTTTGGCACTTAAAGGAATAAGCTTTTGCTATTTGTGAAGTTCACCTAGATAAAATATTAGTCTTTCACAGTGCTGGGTAAATGGACTTTTTAGCTTTATTTCCTATTTGATTGGCATTTTACTATTTTTGATAATTTTGTTAACAGGTACCCTTGAAACTATCCCAAAAAGCATTGTGGAACTAATCTATATGTAAATTCTTATGACTTACCATATAATGATGAAGTTTCTCTCACCAGAAAATGTGAAAGGAGAAGAACAGTGTTGTCTTATAGCCATGTCTGCCCATTTCATGTCTTGAACTTCCTGTCCTGTATTGGCTAATTGGAGATATGGCTACTTCATGGTTATGGTTCTGCAAAAGCTATTAGAAAGAGTTGTGAGTTTCCTCTGTTCTCTTCAACCTTTCTGGGCCCATACCCCTACCTGACTTGGATGTTTATATAAGTGTTTATCCTCAAATACAATCAATCAGTTGGATAGGTCTAGATATTAGTTTCTTTTTATTATTTTTGCTTGGTTAAACAACAGCATCCTTTTGTTCTGCAAAGTTAGGTCTTTCTTTGATTGAATGAAGTTTTCTTTTGTTATATTATGTCTTTGGTTATTGGCATTTATTTATTACTCTTCTTCCAGAAAACCCATTTTTCTTATGTTGTATTTTTTTCAGCCCTCCATATTTATCTTACTCCCTTTTGCCCCTTCCCCCTCCCCTTAGTCTTATTTTCTATCTGCTGAGTGAGCTTTTCAAGGTATATCTGATCTGGTTTTCCACAATGTTAGTTCTACTTTTTATTACTTCTAATACATCATTTGTTTTGCTGCTGCATTTTCCACTTCCTTGTACAGCCTATTTGTTCCTAATTTTGCCAGTTTCATTTTAATTCCTACTTGTCTCAGCCTTTTCTCTTTTTATTTTATATTACATTGTTTCATCTTTCATCTGTTTCAGAATCTGTGTGTTTACTTTTATAAAATATGCAAAGCAGTTGGCTAAAGTTTACTTCCATTTTGCCTACTTTGCTTGTGCTTTCTACTTCTCAAGTGCTATGTTATGTTTCTGTTTTACATAATATTTTTATGGCATCTGTATTTGCTGTTCCTCTTTTACTTATCCTTGAACAAGTACATGTCTATAAAATCTGAGATGCTTACCTATAAATTGGCTTTGTGGCTTCTCTCTGGTTCATCTCAGTAGAGGCTGATACTGTCCTCCTCTTGGACTGTAACAGAAGTTCTGATACATAGCCCCGTAGCATATTTCTAGGGAGTTTGGCTAAAATAAATCTGCTAGTCTAAGTTGGGGTTGCCTAATTTTGCTGCCTGATGTCTTATTTCTAGATTATTAGATAATCCGGCCCAGAAAGATCTGTTCCCCTCAGCTCTTCCAAACTAAATCTTTGTAGTGCTGATTTTACATCTCCACGTGTAGACTCCCACTCCTCATGCATTTCCACCTCCATTCAAGTTACATTGATGAGAATTTTAGACCGAAATTGGAGGTAGAAGGCATAGGTTTTAGGCCAGATGGACCTAGTGAGTGGAGCAATCGAACCCTTGTGCAGCAAGGGAACAGCTTTCCTCTAAATCTGGTCCCTGAAAATTCTCTTTCTTCTGGAGAGTTTAAGGAAATCTCTCAAAATTGTCCAGTATGGCTTTGATATTTTGCCTGACATTACTTCCACTTTTCGTCGTGAACATTAAGTTCCTTTTGCAATTTAGTAGATCATTGGGAAAGTGGTGCAAAAGGTCTGATAAGGTGTTCTAGCTTTTATCTCAGCAAACCTATAATGCTGCCTGGCTTGTTTCAAGTGCTCGGTATCAATTTGTCAAATGAGTGAGTGAATGATTTAGTCTTTTTTTGAGAATTTTACAAGAAACCAACCATGCTTAACCATTTATCATTTTAATACTTTTTCCCCAATAGTTTCCTAGTTAGGTGTCTTACAAAATATATCCTGGGAGTACCATAAAATATTCTGTGAAAAAACAATTCCACAGACAAATAATTTTTGGAAATGCTACATACTGAATTTTTCTTTTAGAAGTTTAATTAGTATGTAAATGTACTATGGGCCCCAAGAAGGCCTGAACTAACAAAACCGCTTAACTCTGTTTAATTCAGTAAAACGTTTCCCAAATTGATTTGATCACAGAAACCTAGTAATATCTTTGGGAAATGCTGCTCTAATCTTTAAAGTACTGTGTAGTTTTTGTGAAAAACATAGTTTATTGTAGATTTTTTTCATGAAATAAACTTTGATTGTTTCTTTAGATGTTCAGAGAGATGTAAATTATGACTAAATGTGATTAGAGTTTCCCAGGAACTGAGATTTTTTTTTCTCATTTGATATTTTGAACAAGATATAATCTCTATGACCTTTTAAAAATGTCTGTTAGTTACTTTAGGTATTTAGCTTGTGTATTTAAGAAAAGGTGCTGTATCTTTTATTGGTACACTGAACTGAAAAAGCACACCCCACAACATGAAAGCATTTCTGTGAGCTCAGTAAAAGAGTTTGTCCCTACTCATGTTTTTAATATTGTTTGTTAATCTAGGAAATAAACCTATAGCTGTGCAGTTTTTCTATCAAAATGGTATAACTGGATGAAGTAGGAAGGTTGACTGATTTTATTTTCAGTTTCAGAATGTTAAGTCTTTTGTTATATTCCCACTTTATTTGTCTTTAAAATAATATCTGACCAAAGCTCTAATCATCTTTTGCCTCTTTATCATGTGAGATTCAAATGTGCTTTACTAGTTCAACTGTTCACTGATTGGATAAGAAACTTTCCCTCTTTTTTTGGTAACTAATGCTTCTGTACTTGCTTTACCACTCTTCTCTATCCACATAGTTTTTTTTCCCTTCACATCTTTTTTGTAATTGGTAGTTTAGTTTAGTTTCAGTTTGCTTTGTAAAGTTAGGGATAAATTTGTACCAAGTTAGGAGACCTTTTTTAAGGAAAACTTTTGTTTTAGAAGCTTCTTTTTGGTGGTGGTGCTGGGGAGGGGTAGGTGAAAGGAGATAACAGTAAATAAAGCTCAACAAATTTTCAGCTGGTCAGATCTTCCCACTGGCCAACTAAATCTGAAAGAGCCACAGGTTTGTGGTGGGTTTGTCTAGCAAGTTCTAAGTTCTAGTTCCTGAATTTTCCCTACCCTAGAGTGTCATGTTTCCATGCTTCCTTCTGAATAAGACCATGATCTGCAGACCTCCTTCTTAAATCAAATCATCCCTAATACTTACATGTTTCAGAATTAAAAATAATTTCTAAAAACATTACCTAAGCATTATATTACTAAAGCAATATAACCAAAAAAAATTATTTCCAAGAATTGATGAAGAACTTTTAAATAAAAGATAATTGAGCATTAATATTAATAAATGAAATTCTAACTGGTTTTATCTTCAACAGACAAACAACAGAAAGGTGAATTTGCATTAGATGGCTACAGTGTCAGAATGAATAACACTCTAAGAAAGGATGGAAAGAAAGATTGCTGTTTTGAAATCTCTGCTCCTGATAAACGTATATATCAGGTTGTACTTTTTATGTTGCCTTGAAATTAAGTTGATAAAATGTTTTGATTTCATTTATAGAGACGTTGACATTTGATTAATACTCTCCTTGACATGTTAACAATAATAAAAATACTGGTGTTTAAATACATTATGCATTGAACATTCATATAAGGGGAATTTTTTTTTAATTTCGGATTAGTTCAAACGCTATCTTCTTGAAAAAGATAAAGAGAATATATAACTTATCGATTACTTCCCATGTTGCATTTATATCTGATAGAACTAGGTGATCTTCCAAAAGAGTTACATAGCAGAAAGAGTAAAATTATCAAAAGACAAATATCAGAGTGATAATACATATTGTGTTGCTTAGGAGTGTGGGAGAAAATGAAGGTAAAGGTACACATCAGCTCTGCAATTCAAGAGCTATCAGCTAGGCTTCAATATGGAATGTATGTTTAATCAGTTTTAAGTATCTGAGATTGCAGTTGAAAGCCAGTTAATTAAGTTGTCAGGTAGTGTGTTGGAATCTGACAAGAACATTTTTAAGAAAACTGTATCCAGCAGTCTAAAGAAATTCATGGGTGTCTTCTAATTGTCAAGGGCAAATTTTGTTCATCAGTTCTGTCTTTGACATTGATGAAGAGAAGCAGCTTTTTTTTCCTGCACAGCTGCCAGCTGCTGATCAGAGTTTCAAATTCATCATCCTCTGCTTCAATTGCATAAATTTGTCAAAATTAACTGTACATTATAAGAAGCATCCTTGCAAGAAAACTTCCACTAGACATGAAAAGAATTACTAATAGTCTTAAATAAATGGTAAGAATACAACATACCTTTCATTTCTACTGTGGTGATTTTCGTTTTTATTGTTTATTTTATATTAGTTTACAGCAGCTTCTCCCAAAGATGCTGAGGAATGGGTACAGCAGCTGAAATTTGTATTGCAAGGTAAGATAAATCAATTGAATGAGTTATCACAGTCTTTAAATACTAAATAACAGAGTAGTTTGGGTTTTCATATACAAAAACTTACTGACTTCTGTGAGAATGACCAAGTGAATGTGACTGCTATTTATACAGACCACTTACTTCAGATTTTAAACAGCATCTTTTTTGTAAGTACCAATTGGCTTACCTTAAAATTCACATATTTACAAAACAATTTTAAACATGATTTTGGCCGGGCGCGGTGGCTCAAGCCTGTAATCCCAGCACTTTGGGAGGACGAGGCGGGTGGATCACGAGGTCAGGAGATCGAGACCATCCTGGCTAACACGGTGAAACCCCGTCTCTACTAAAAATACAAAAAACTAGCCGGGCGTGGTGGCGGGCGCCTGTAGTCCCAGCTACTCGGAGGCTGAGGCAGGAGAATGGCGTGAACCTGGGAGGCGGAGCTTGCAGTGAGCCGAGATCGCGCCACTGCACTCCAGCCTGGGTGACACAGCGCGAGACTCCGTCTCAGAAAAAAAAAAAAAAAAAACAAAAAAAAAAACATGATTTTAGTTAAGGACATAACATGTAACAATATTGTTATTTTGTAGGGCTGCATTTATTTATGAAGTATAGTTTTAAAAATATCTTCTGCATTCTTTTAAAATTTACATCATGAAATGTGTTTTATAGATATGGAATCTGATATTATTCCTGAGGATTATGATGAGAGAGGAGAATTATATGATGATGTTGATCATCCTCTACCAATAAGCAATCCACCAACAAGCAGTCAACCAATAGATGATGAAATTTATGAAGAACTTCCAGGTATTTACTTTCTGGTGATTCATTTAAAGATTTAGGGCTGTGTGTGTGTGTGATTTGTCCTCCAATTGACAACTTGAGTAGAAAATGATGATCTATTGAGAACAAGGACAAAGAATATCTTTAAAACTCTATTTTATAAAAAGGGTTCTGCTTGAGATATTTCAAGTGAGTAGATGTAACTTATAAAAAGTGAATGAAACATTAAAATGAAGCAGATACAATACTAATCTCTTGGGACTTTTGGCTCATTAGCATTGTTTATGCTACATAATTTTTTAATTAAAAAATTGACTTGCCTTATAGTTTTTTCCACCAACTCACACATCGTTTTTTATTTATACATCTTGGAACTTCCATTAACCAGAAGTTCTACACATACCCCATATGTCATCAACTTCTGCCTCGGATTTCTCCTTGCTTGTAGTATATTGCATTGTCTTGGAGGAATGTTGTTGAACTATAAATAAAGGCCTTCTGAGGCTTCAAGTCTTCCTGTTGATATTTTAGCATCAATATGGAATAAAAAAGTTTTCTTAGTTTAGTGTTTACATGCCTGTCTGTTATATAACATAAAATTAATTATCTATTAGCTACTTGACTTGTGGCCATGAGGATCAATCTAAAATAAAAAGATAGACATCTAAAATTTAGGAAACATATGAAAACATTTAGGAAATTGTTGTATTGCTAATACTCTAGGTTGAAATGAGCTTTTTTGGCTATTAAAAAAAATCAGTAGTTAGAGAAGAAAAAGGTATTATAAGCAATATAAGCAAGATTTAACTAGTACATCTCATGTAGAGAGGCCATTTTGCTCTGAATATAACAATTTAATGATGCAATGTAAACCTTTAAAATTGATTTCAAAAATACTTAAAATGTTCCAAATTAATGTACAAATGTCATTTTCAATACAATACAATATAATAACAAGAGTATGGACTTTAGAATATAAAAATTTAAATTCTGGCTGTACCATTTACTAGCTTAGTGACTTTATAAGTTAATTTCTTCATTTATAAAATGGAAATAGTATCATTGGGAAGGGTAAGTGAAGTGATTTATTGAAGGCTCTCAGCATAGTGCTTGATCATAGCAAACCCACAATTAATTGTAACATCACCATCATTTTTGTTTTTATTATTGTATCTGGTGAATTCTTGCAAGTGCTTATGTGGTGGTACAGTAATGGTTTTCTAACCAAGTAAAAAGTAATAATTTTAACAATATTATAAATTTAAGGTATAAAAACTATGTATGCATCTATATATTGTCTTTTACTACCCCAGAAGATTAGTATAAAAGTATAATTTTATGGGGAATAGAGATCTGTGTATTTCAGTTATTTAGTGGAGTTACATGTTTATTAACACCTTCCTTTCTGGTTTACCCTAAGGAAATGGCATCTACTGTAGCATCAGTTATCCTCAAGTAGGGAAGAACATTCCCTAGCTGCTTGTTTTTAGTCACATCATATCATTAATACAATTATTTTAGTATTTAAAAACGTTTAAAAGAACTTGTAAGAATGTATACTCATAAAATGGAAGAGTGGAATACATTTAAACATATTACTGTCATTACATCCTTTTAAAACCCTGCAATGAATGTGTTACAATTGTTGAAATAACTGTTAAGTTCTGTATTTTTTCAACTTGGCTATTCTCTCCCACCCCTAAAGAAAAAAAAATTGATTAGGAATAAAGAGCAAATATTCATAGTTATTTTCATAACAAAGACCTAAGGAAGATCTGATATAAGTAGCTTGAAATTTTAAAAATATGAAACATCTTTTATTTTCTCTTACTACAGATACTATTCTTCATCCTTCCTCACCCTCCCGACCCTCCCCTCCCCCCACTACAAACATAATTGTTGAAAGTAACTGGTTACTTTTTAAGTAGTGTTACTTCTTGCTGTGGTACTGGGAGAAATTTAAGCTGCCCTGGGATTTCTTTGCCCCTGCTTGGGATCCCCAGTTGCTCTGCAAAGTGATTGAGCTTGATAGAGCCTGCAACTGTGCCCCTGGGAAGGAAGCTGTTGTAGGCAGCTGTGGAATGTCTCGTTCCCCTTTCTTCCCCGGTGTAACTGAGAGCTGCTTCAACATCTGCACACTTCAGCAAGTTTGTCAAGTTTGTGCCAACAGCTACAGAGGGAATTTTTCTAGTAGAGGCCCTAAAGGTGTCTCAGAGTTAGAGGTTTTGTATGATTAAATATCTGAAACTAGGAAGGTAACTTTTTTAATCTAAAAAATTGTCTCTCAGGACAAGAATTAAGCTTTTTGCTTTCACTTCTGTGAAATTTGAATATAATTTTGATAGAGGAGTTAGAACAATGGAAGAGCAGTAAGCACATTTACATACTATTGATATTTTTCCAGTTCTGTTCAAAGAACTGTGTATCTCTGATACCTGACTGGCTAAATTCCCAGAATTAAATAATACTACAATTTCAACACAATTTTCTGTCAATTATGCATTGTTGAAAACTAATACTCTTAGTTGAAAGATGAGGTATACAAATGTATTTGAAGAAAAATCTAAGAATTTAGCATGCTACTTTAAATTACAAAGGTCTTTTTCTGAGAAACAAAAGCTCTTACTCTAATAAGTGTATTTTTTAAAAACTATGAAATAAACCTGCAGTGTTTTAAGTTTCAAGAGTAAGAAGAAAACATTGTTTTAAAAATTGCATTGGGCCAGGCACAGTGGCTCAGGCCTGTAATCCTAGCACTTTGGGAGGCCGAGGTGGGTGGATCACTTGAGGTCAGGAATTTGAAACCAGCCTGGCCGACATGGGGAAACCCCTCTCTACTAAAATACAAAAAAAAAAGAAAAAAAAATTAGCTGTGCATGGTGGCAGGTGCCTACTGTAATCCCAGCTATTCAGGAGGTTGAGGCAGGAAAATCACTTGAACATGGGAGGCGGAGGCTGCAGTGAGCCAAGATCGAGCCACTACACTCCAGCCTGGGCAACAGAGTGAGACTGTGTCTCAAAAAAAAAAAAAAAAAATTGCATTGCAAAATATCCCTTGAAAAATGTTTATAATTCTATGGGAATCTAAATCGTTTCATTATAATTGTTTTCAGTTAGAATATTCTAACTTTATTACAGTACCTTCTCTTTAATTTCTTGTTCATTTGTTTTTAACTAACTTGATAAAAGAATAGGAATAAATTTGTAAGACTTCTTTGTGTTTAAGGGATTTATACATATGTACAAAAGAGTTGCGAGAATGCCATTTCTGGGGAGTATTAAAGGTATTTGGCTTTTCTTCAAATATCCTAATGCTTTTACATCTTTTATGTCTTATTGCTTATTAGCATAGGCCACTCAGGTTTGCTTACATTGTAATAATACTGTAGCATATTTGTTTTTGTGCAGCTAATATATTGATCAAAGTGTGTTAAACTGTTTCATAACATGGTAATGAGTTCATTTGGCTTAGCACAGATTTGTAAATTTATTGCCCACTTTTTCATTAGAAATACAGAGGAGTGTCTTTGTCTCATTTTGAATCTCAAAAGAAGAAAATAATACTCGGGAAATTGCTGCAGAAACTAACCCTGTTTGCTCTTCTCTTCTACTCACCATGTCACTTGATTTTTTTCTTTAATGGCAGGAAATTGTGCAGAAACAACAACAACAAAAAGATTTTTCTAGATCTAAACTGAATAGAATCAGCCTAGTAACAAGAATGGTAACCATCCATTAACTTATTAAATCTGTAGCTTTCAGAGGAATTGCACTTGAAATGTCTTCTGGCAAGTGGACTGGAGGAGAGAGGGCAACATAAAACAGGAAGACAAATTTCTATTCCATTAACCTATTTTTTTTAAGTGTGAATTCATTTTTTTAAAAAATTACGATGACAGATTGAACTATTCTGAGTCAGAAAAGGATATTTTCATCCTTTGGCCGTTCAATTACATTTTAAATTTATTCAGTCCAACTATCTGCATCTAAAATGGAACATAAAGTAAAATGCAGCTATAATTTTTTTTCCGTGAGACTATTATATATACATAAAATAGAACAGTGTTTGGATACTTTAATTTGAAGTAGTTTACAGCAAATGGACACAAATGCTAATTTAATCAATAAGTGGTTATAGGCCCCCAAAATACATTTTGGCTTTATTTTCCTTCTGAATAATTATCACTCATATTACTAAGTTAATATCAAGGTTACAAAGGACCCTGCAATCTGTGGTATTAACAATGTTTTAAGTGATAGTAGATCCTGACTTCACCAAACAATTTTTCTCCTTTCTTCTTTGGAATGCAATGGAAAGATGTCAATTAATTTTTGCAGAACCACATATATTCAGTATGTTAATATTGTTAGTCTAGGCAGCCTGCTAACATTATTTTTTCTTAAACTAGGTACTGAATGGTGAAGTTATCAATGTGGTGATATTGTGGGAATATTTTTTCCCAAGTAGATGACTAGATTAGAGTTGAATTTTTGGATGGTGATATGGTTTGGCTGTGTCCCCACCCAAATTTCATCTTCAATTATAGTACCCATATAATCCCCATGTGTCCTGGGAGGGACCAGGTGGAGATAATTGAATCATGGGGGCAGTGTTCCCCATCCTGTTCTCATGAGATCTGATGGTTCTATAAGGGGCTTCCCCCTTTGCTGGGCACTCGTTCTTCCTGATGCTGCAATGTGAAGAAGGACATGTTTGCTTCCCCTTCTGCCATGATTGTGAGTTTCCTCAGGCCTCCCTAACCATGCTAAACTGTGAGTCAGTTAAACCTCTTTCCTTTATAAATTACCCAGTCTTGGGTATGTTTTTATTAGCAGCTGAGAACAGACTAATACAGATGGTTTCAGCTCTCTACTCTGCTGAGAGGGTTATCCGAAGTTATATAAAAAAAAATTAAATCCTTCATAAAATAGGGTCACTACACACATATAATGTTTTTTTATTTTTATCTTTGCTGAATATAAATGTGTCTGCTGAATATTTGTTTATAGTATTCTTTATGTTG